TTTTTTTTTTTTTGGTCGTTGTTGTTGTTTAGTATAGAAATATAACTGGTTTTTATATATTGATCTTGTATCCTGCGAACTTAATAAAATAACTTACGAGTTATCGTAGCTTTTTTTGTGGGATCTTTGAAATTTTCCAGAGTCAAGCATGTCTTTTTTTTTCTTGCCTTATTGCACTGGCTAGGTCTTCTGGTACACTATTGAATAGAAGTAATGAAAGTAGACATTTTTGCTTTGTTTCCGGTTTTAGGAGAAAAACATTCTCTTTCACCATTAAGTATGATATTAGTTGTAAGTTTTTTGTATATGCTCTTTTTCAGGTTGAGAAAGTTCCCTTTAGTTCCTAGTTTGCTACAAGTTTTTTATCATGAAAGGATGTTGTGTTATGTCAAATTATTTTTCTGTATCTATTAAGATGATTATATTTCTTTTTCTTCTCTAGTCTGTTGCTGTGGTGAATTAAATTGGTTTTTTCAAAGCGGTTTTATTTTATTGAGATTAATTTTACATAACATGTTGTTGTTTGATGCTGTCAAGTCTATTTTTGACTCATAGTGACCCCATGTGACAGAATAAAACTGCCCAGCAGGATTTTCTAGGCTGTAATCTTTATGGAAGCAGATCACTAGATCTTTCCTGCGGAGCCATTGAGTGAGTTTGAACCTCCAACCTTTTGATTAGCGGCCAAGCACTTAACCATTGCGCCACCAGGGCTCCTTTACTTAACAGAATTCATTATTTTAAAGTGCACCATCAGTGGTTTTTCGTATATTCACAATGTTATGCGATCATCACTATTACCTAGTTCCAGAACATTTGCATCACACCAAAAAGAAACCCTGTATTTGTTAGCAGCCAATCCCAATTCCTCCTTTCCCCTATCCCCTGGCAACCACTAATCTATTTTCTGTCTGTATTGTCTATTCTGGACATTTCATATAAATGAAATCACACATTATGTTGTCTTTTGTGACTGGTTTCTTTCACTTAGGAAAACATTTTTAAGGTTTATCTATATTGTAGCGTGTATCACCACTTCATTCTTTTTATTGCCAAATGATACTCCGTTTTATGGATATATCACATTTTGTTTAATCATACATCAGTTGATAGACACTTGGGTTGTTTCCACCTTTTGTCTATTATAAATAATGCTGCTTTGAACACGCAAGTGCAACTTTTTGTGTGGACACATGTTTTCATTTCTTCTGGGACTATATCTAGGGGTAGAATTGCTAGGTCATGCAGTAACTCTATATTTAAATGCTTGAAGAACAGTCCAACTGTTTTCCAAAGCAGATGCACCATTTTACATTCACATTAGCAATGTCTGAGGGTTCCAATTTCTCCACATCCTTGCCAACATTTGTTTTTTATTTTTTTATTATAGCTATTCTGATGAGTGGGAAGTGATATCTCGTTGCGGTTTTGATGTGCATTTCCCTAATAAATAATGATGTGGAGCATCTTCTCATGTGCTTGTTGGCCATTTGCACATCTTCCTTGGAAGAATCTCTATCCAAAGCCTTTGCCCATTTTTAATGAGGTTATTTGTCTTTTTATTAGGAAGGTTTTAAGTTTTCTTTATTACATTCTGGATATAGACCCTTGTCAGATACACGATCTGCAAATATTTTCTCTTGTTCTATAGATTGTCATTGCACTTTCTTGACGACGTCCTCTGACATACAGAAGTTTTCTATTTTGATTAAGTTTAATTTTCTAGTTTTTCTTTGGTTGTTGTGCTTTTTGTATCATATCTAAGAAAACATTGCCAAACCCAGCTTCACAAAAATTTACACCTATGTTTCCTTCTAAGAGTTTTATAGTTTTAGACCTTTGATCCATTTTGAGTTAATTTTTGTATATGATATGAAACAAGGGTCCAACTTCATTCTCTGCATGTAGACATCCAATGTCCCAGCACCACTTGTTGAAAAAATAGTCTTTTCTTTCCCCCTTGAATAGTCTTGGCACCCTTGCAGAAAATCAATTAGCCATAGATGCATGGGTTTGTTTTTGGGTTTTCAGTTCTATTCCATTGATCTATATGTGTACCCTTATGCTAGTACCAAACTGTCTTGATTATTCAAAATTTTAGAGTAAGTTTTGAAATCAGGAAATGAGAATCCTCCAACTTTTTTGGGGGGGGGTGTTGCTGTTTTTTATTTCAAGATAGTTTTGGGTATTCTAGGACCTTTGCATTTATATATGAACTTTAGGATCAATTTGTCCATTTCTGCAACACTGATTTTTAAATGTTGAACAAATCTTGTATTCCTTGGGATAAACCACATTTGGTCATGATACATTATCCTTTTTTATATACTGTTGTATTCAATTTGCTAGTGTTTTGTTGAGGATGTTTTGGCCTGTAGTCAACAAAGGGTCTTAAACTGAAGACTTGTATAAACAGTTTCCCATCTAGAAACTTCACGTCCCCTCTGTGGATTAGAAGGGGGCAATTTTGGATCTTGGGAGACCACTATGCCCACATAAGAGACAACAACAGTCTCGATCAGGTTGATGGCAGTAGAAGCGGAGGGAGCGGACAGATTCTAGAGGTACATGCCTCCCATCCTCCTTCCCAGTGTTTTCTCACATAACCCCCTCACCCCATACACTCTGAGCTCCAGCCTTACTGAACTCTGACCTATGCTGTCTCCTCCCTTTAGCCCTTTTCCTCCCTCACCCTTCACTTCTTTAGCTCCTCTACCTCAGGCCTTGGTTTAACTGTCCCTTCTTCCAGAAAGCTTTCCCTGAGACTTTTGTGTGGATGCTTTCCCATTTTCAACCATAGCACCCAGACGATCCCAGTTTAAGAATTTATCACTCTTGATTATAATTTGTTTATGCGATTACCTTTGTGTGAGGGGATGGGGTAAGGGAATTGACCAGCCGGCCTTCCCCATGTAATTCTGAACTGCACACATAAAAGAGAGAAGTAGCATCACACTCACATTTGACTTCCTGGAATTCCCCTACACATTCTCCCCAACCCCTCCCTTGTATGTACCAGGCACCCACGCCATCAGCAGTTAATATGCGTTGATGAAACCTATGGTAAGGCTATGTGAAGAATTTGACTATTAGCAAAGAATCACGGCCAGCTGCTCACGTATCAGGGCAAACTGGTTTCATCCACATGTGATGCATTAATTGCAGAGCAAAGAGAACTACTGACAAAAATTAGAAGAACAGACACAGAACTGTATGCACAATATCGTGGATGCAGTTCTGTTTCAGGGATTTGCAAGAATGGTTTGGAATAAAGATTTTTGCCTCACACACCAGCCTCCACATACGGTGCGACCATATTGCTTATGCAAGGGTGATAATCAAAATATTTAACAACTGAGGCTGCAGAGGCACTGTCCGGTCATTTTGCTAGAGCAGGTCCTAGAGGCCCCCCCAAAGTGTCCTGCTTTGACCTCACAGTTGCTAAATCATGGGAAAGTCCAAAGCATTCTGGGGGATGGGACAGACTGCCTGTGGCCGGGGGAGTATCTCAGGGAAGCAGCTGTTTATTGAGGAGTATAAAAATATTTCAATATTTTAATAACTAATATAACTATACAGGTTATATACTGGTTGAATAAAGGCTCTGGGTACAGGAAAACTGGTAGAGAGCTCTGTACAAGCCAAGTACTATTATTTATTGTTGTTAGAAAAGCTGAGGACACAACATTCTCAAATGCAAAGCTGATCTTGTAACTCGGCAGCTCAAAACCCTCTGCAGGCTCCTTTACAAGGCTCTGCCATGTATCACATCTGGTGATGCCATCCTGGCATCCCTCAGCCCCCACAGAGCCTCTGTTTGCACATTCATGCTACACACACTCTGCACTCACCTGGCTCCCCTTGACAACACCATTGGTCTTCCAGGTTCCAGCATCCTGTTTGAACATCACCACCATACCAGTATGTTGATATCGAGGTGCCCCCAGAAGCAGACTCTGTACCCAATTTCTCAGGATGACTTCGGCAGCATAACCTGAAGACAGTGGTCTAAGGGGAGAAGAGCTTTCCCTCGCAGACCCTGCCCCACCTCTGCCAAGCAGGCCCATCCCTTGGGTAGGAACAATGAGGTAGCCCCACACTTGGTAAGTTGGCGGCTCTGGTCCCCACACTATATTCCCCTTTGTAAACATATTTAAAATCAAATTTTGAAATTTTTGTCTTTAAAGCTGTCCCAGGGACCTATGAAAGAACTAATGACATCCACACAAGTTGAATTACACCACATCCTGCTTCTTTCTTAGAGTAACCCTGCCCTCCCCACTTACCCAAGTAAGCATCATTCATGTCTGAATCCACCCTGGTTGTGCTGATGAAGGTGGCTTTATCCTTTGAAGTTCTCAAAAAAGCTCCACCAGCCCAGTCAAAGCTCCCCACGGCACCCAGCAAGGGACCATTCTGGGGAAAGGGTTAGAACAGAATTGACAAGGAAGGGAGGAGAGACTTCTGCTGCCCATCAAAAGAGTACCCTTCAACAAGTACCCACCACAGAGAACCCCAAACCTTTGTGCCTCTTCTCTACCCCCCACAATCTAATGAGGGACCACTTACAGAAGTGATGGCAGCACTGAAGCCTTCCTGAGACATCTCATACTCAAATGAGCTGGTGCTTCCTGTCTGAGTACCTGTGAGGAGGAGAACTTTCTACATTAAAGAAAGCAGAAGAGTCTAGAACAGGGGCTGGAAATACAAATACCTATGGCAGCCAGACAAAAAAGACTCAGGTGGGCATTGTGTTGAACTGAAGTTTAAATCCACCAGCCACTCCTTGGAAACCCTATAGGCTAGTTCTACTCTGTCCTACAGTGTTGCTATGAGTCAGAATCTACTCTACAGCAATGAGTTTAGTTTTTTTGGTTTTGGAGAACATACGCCCTTTCTAAAGGAATGGCTGCAATTGACTGCTAACCAAAAGGTCAGTGGTTTGAAGGCACCAGTGTCTTCACAGGAGAAAGATGTGGCAGTCTGCTTCCGTAGAAATTTACAGCCTTGGAACCCCTATGGGATCACTATGAGTCAGAATAGACTCGACGGTAGTGGGTTGGGTTTGGTTTTGGTTTGGCTGCTATTCAGCTCTACCAAGTGGGAATATGGTCCTTGAGGTGCCTAACCTTCCAAATTCCAAGAGAAGCCAGAAATACAAATTGTATATGAAATTTCCCCGATTCTTAAATTCCTTTATTCATCAAAGATTTATTGAGCACCTTCTGTGCACCAGGCATTGGGATACAAAAGTGAACCAAACCGACAAATGTTGGCAACACATCCAAATTTTTGGAAATATACAGTGTGGGATCTGGCTCCCCTGCCTTCCAAATTTCAGCCTGTAGTCAAGACTTGTAAAACTAGAGATAAGAGTCTACATTCTTCGATTTCAAAGAAATTGACCAAAAGAGGCCAGGAAGACTGGGAGCTGGAGGAATTGGAGAGACAGTTGGTATTGAGGGTCAGGATACCAATGGTTGAGAGGTTCTAGTTTCTAGAGGGGAGTGAGTGTTTGGGTGAGGGGCTGTCTCTGGAGCTGCCTTGAGAACACAGAACCTTGACTCACCCTCAATTGCAAAGATCTTTTCTTTCAGCTGGTTTTGAATAGTCTTCAGAGCTTCAAAGTTATTCACCTGGAACACGTGTTCAGAAGATGGCTTGGATGCGATGGTTCTAAGCTCTTCACGGTTTTTCTCACTACTGAAGGCATCTCCCACCTGTTACCAAGAAACAGAGACTGAATAAGACACTGTCTGGGAGCAGCAGTCTCATCCAGCAAAGAAAATTCTTCAGGAAAAAATCCGAAACATTATTTGTCAAATGAGGGAATGCACCAGAAGGCCCCTGGGACAGAGCTGTTGGCTATAGGTGGGCAGGTTGTATGCTGCACAAGGGCACAGTGCCAAGTGAGAAATTGGGGGCTGAAATCCAGCCTTTGGACCATTGGCTATGCTTTGCATTTTGGAGCAGGCTTTATCTCCCCCCAAAACTGGAGTCTTTTTCTTGACATGAAGGTGTTCCTGCTTGCCAAACCATGCACCCATGGTGATGCCTTTTTCTAATTCACACAAGGTTCTGTGGTAGTTTGATTACACTGATGATCCCAACTCTTTAATCTTTCCTGTATCCAAGTCCTTTCCCCAAAACTTTGTTGTGCCTTCTTACTGCTGGTGGGGTAAACTGCCACACTTATTTTCTCTGGACTCAGTCATTGGATGTTGTCAAACGTGATGCAAGCAGAGGCTTGAAAAAGCACTTGCACATTTCCACTTGCTCCTTTGTTCCTTGCCTTCACCATGAGGACATGCCCAGGCTAGCGCATTAAAGGATGAGATACAGGTTGCAAAGCCAAGTCACCCCAGCTGTCCCAGCCAAAGTAATTCTAGTCCAACAGGCAGATTTAGCAACCCCCAGACATGTGACAGAGGCCAGCCCAGACCAGCAGCTGACTATAGATCCTCAGTGAACCCAGGTGAGACCAGAAAAACTGCCCAGCTAACCTACAGACTTACCTATTGTTTTAAGCCGTGCATTTTGAATGGTTTGTTACACAGCGTTACTGTAACAATACAGAACTAATAAAGGTGTATATGGGCTAGCACTGACCCTTGCCCTGCTTTGATTTTATTGATATTTTCAAATTGAAAGTAGGGTGAATCCAATCAGAAACCCTCCAAGGAAGCATCAGGCCCAAGAGCCACATTTCCTACCCCAATGACATAGCGGACGACCCCTTCTCTGTCCGCTTCGGGAATGACATCCTCGTAGCCCAAGGGATCACCATACTTTTCTCCATCTGTGATGACAACTAGGATCTTACGGGCATCCTCCCGGGCCCCGTTGCTGCTGTGAAACAGTTCCCTTCTGTCCAGGAAAGAGGAGTGACAAAGTCAAATCTGAGTAGACAGAAGTACTATTAACGCTCAAGAGGAAATGTCAGCCGAGTCAGAGACACAGATACAGCTGGACTTGTCTAGGAGGGGCTCAGTCTCCCCAGAGACTGACACTGAAATGTGGCTGCCCAAGATCTGGAAAGGTACCAGGGGAGAGGAGGAAACTGGAGGAAAGCAGCATGGAAAGGAAGTCCTCTTGCCTTTATATACTTTTGCATACTTTGATTTTTTTTAGACTAAGTATTATTAATTTAAATTTTAAAAAATTAGAAAGAAATAAGCCCTGATTAAGCCTCTGCTGGAACACTGTCACTGCTCTCCAGCTCATCTTCCTGGACTTTTGTCCCAACATCTACTATCACCTCTATACAGAGAGAGAGAGACTGAAATCAGAGTGAGCATTCCAAAACACAGATGTGGCAGTGCCTTCCCATTACTGAGCACCTTCAATGAATCCCCACTAAGACAAAAAGTCCAAACCTTTGGTTGTCTTCAGTGACCCGGCCTCAACGAGCCTTTCTAGCCTCCCAGCAGCCACCTTCCCCACACCTTATCCCTTTACTCACATCTTTACTCACAACTTGTTTTTTCATGAACATTCCACCACTGTCACTCCTTCACACCTTTACTGATGCTGCTCCCTCCACCAGAAACAACCTTTACCCCATCCCTGTCTGAACAGCTCCCCTCATCCTTCAAAGCCCACCTAAAAGTATCACCTCCTCCTTCCATCCTAAGCAAGGAGGGAAGACCTTACACTGCTTTGCGGATTCCTGTGGCAGTGTGTGTCCTCCCCGACAGTTGTCTTATTGGTGTCACCAGCGATCTTGGGTTGGGATTTTTCTCGAAATCCTTGAAGGTGAAATGGGTCCAGAACTTTTCGGAGTACTGCATCAAAGAGAACTGGGAACGGGCACCTGGCATTACACTGGAGAAAGTGCCTACCTCCCACTCCTTTAGACATCTCCCACCCAGGAAAGTGTGTTGTTTACCCAAGCAAGCCCTACATAAATCTTAAAATACCCAGCCTCCAAATGCCTTCTCTCCACTGCCCCTCAAGCCCTCTGCCTTAACAGGACAGAGATCTGCCATATAGCTCCCGCCTCTCAGTACTAGAACTCAACCAGAGAGGACATGTGGGTTTCATCCCCAAGCCAACCCCTATCCATTGATCAGGGCTGCCTTCACATAGGGCTGAAACGAATGCTTAGTCTGCATCCAGACCGAGCAGGAAAGAATCATGAAAGAAAGCCATGATTGAGTGGCAATGTCTGCAATTGAAGGAGAAGATGACCCATTGGCCTTCACCAAGGTTTTGAACGTTTTGAATTGGTCCATCACAGTTGAGACAAACTTCTTCATTTGCTCAAACTCATTTGGGCTGATGCTACCAGAACCATCAATCAAGAAGGCAATGTCAGTCTCCAGTCGAGGACATCCTAGGCAAGAGGAAAAAGAATATGAATTGATTAATTAATTAGAAATTCAATGTTCATTTTTTGCACGTCAGCTCTCTACTGAGCACTGTGGCTAAAAGGATAAATAAGACACAATCCAGGCTCCAAGCGAAGCAAAAACATGGATGAAGTCGTATAGAAGAATTTGGTTAATTTTACCTGAGGGAATCAGGGAAAGCAGTGATATCTGACCTGGCTTATGAAGAATAAGAAACAATTTGCCAGAAATACAAAGGGAGAAATAAATTACAGATGAAGGGAATATACCAAAAACAAACAAAACCCACTGTCATTAAGTCAATTCCGACTCATAGCGACCCTATAGGACAGAGTAGAACTGCCCCATAGGGTTTCCAAGGCAGTAAATCTTTACGGAAGCAGACTGCTACATCTCTCTCCCATGGAGTAGCTGGTGGGTTCAAATTGCCAACCTTTTGATTAGCAACCAAGCACTTAACCACTGAGCCACCAGGATGCCTTAAAGAGATTATAGCACATACATAAGTGTGCTGGATGTCTTCCTCTGCCCCATCCTCAATTCTGCTTTCTACTTTTCTCCACTCTGCCCTGTGAGCCAGGAGAATGGCCCACAAGGACCATATCAACAGGGATCCCTCCTGCTCGGCTTGGCTTCTCGTTGGATTTGGCCAATTAAGAGCCTCCGTAGGAGACTAAAGGGAGAGAGCAAAGTGAGATCAGGGTATTCTCCCCTTGCCCACCCCCCCCAACCCGAGATTGCTTTAGGCTAGATGTGTCCGTGACAGAAGATCACTGCTTCTCTTAAGGCAGCCTGCTCCACTCCTCTGTCTCCTTCAGGCTCTGGTAACCTTTCCTTCTCCTTATCTCCTCAGCCGAGGGGTGGGAACAGCTGTGCTGCTGCTTGCCCTAAGTTCCTGGATCACCCCTTGTAGTTCCCCTAGACCTTATCCCCACCTTTATAATTAGTCCCTTTGTAAATAAACTGTCTTTGAATTATCCTAATTGGAGTGTGCCATCTTGTTACAGTTGGGACTCTGACTGACATAAAGGGGATGGAGGCTAAAAGGATTCTGGCAGAATCAAGAAATGGAAATGGCACTAAAGGGGTAAATGTATGTGATGGGGATGAAGACAAAGCTATGACATTAAGCAAAGACCAGATTGGGAAGGGCCTCTGTACCCCAATAAGAAGTTTGACTTTATCCTTTAGGCACTCGGGAGCCACTGAAAGTTCTTAGAAGAGGAAGTGAGATGATTTGTTTTGTATTTTAGTGAGGTGTTTATCACAGCTCTATCATGATTGCGCAACACTGAAAACAACCCAAACATCCTTCAATGGCTGAATAGATGAATGGGTGAATGGGACTGTGATAAATCCATGCAAGGAAATTACTCAGCAATAAAAATGGCATGAACTACTGATACACACACCAACTTAGATGAAGCCCAAATGCCATGTGCTGGGTGAAAGAAGCCAATTCCATTTATATGAAATTCTTGAAAAGATAAAATGACAGTGATGGGGAACAGATCAGTGGTTGCCAGGGGCCAGGGATGCCGGGAAGAGGTGACTGACTACAAAAGGATGGACAGAGGAGTTTTGGGGGGTAATAGAATTGATTATGGTGGTGGTTATGCAAATCTATACGTATGTCAAAATTCATGGAACGGTATACTAAAATAAAAAAGTCAATTTTACTGTATAGTAATTGAAAACTAAATAAAATAAAATTAGCCCAAAAAAGCACTGAACTTTTTTTTTTTTTTTAACTAGACAAACAAGCAGATCCTAGTATTTATACAGAAAATATACAAAGAGTAGCCAGGAAATTTTTTTAAGATCTCAAAGATACGTTGTTAAGTGACAAACATCAAGGTGCAGAACAGTGTGTATAGTATGCTACCATTTGTGGCACGAGAGTGAAGAATACAGAGACCTCAATGATTGTAAATACATGAAGCATCTCCGGAAGAACTCACAGGAAGCTGTTAATAGTGGCTGCCTCTCAGGGAGGAAATGGGGGCTGGGGAATGCAAGAGGAGGAGATTTTTACAGTATATTCTCTTTTGGTGCCTTTTGAATTTCAAACCAAGAGTAGTATTATCTATTTTAAAAGAAATGAATCTGTTTTAAAAAGAAATAGTCTTAAACTCACAAAAGTGAGGAATAAAGAAGGAAATGAGGGGGCGGTAGCTGAAGTCCCGGGACTGGATGAGATCATGCAGGAAGAATGTGTGGGCAAGAAGAGAAGTTGTAGCCTAAGTGCCCCTGGGCGGACATATGAATATATAGATATGAAGATACTAAAATAGGGCAATGTGGTAGGGAGTGACTGTGGATGAGTGGGAATGAATGATTAGAAGGGATGGTCAGGGAAGTCCTCTTCAAAGAGGTAACATTTGAGCTGAGATGACAATGCTTTGTCAGCCACACTGAGATCTAGGGAAAGAGGATGTCAGGCTGAAGGAATAGTAAATGCAAAGGCCCTGAGGCAGGTACAGGTTTGGTGTGGTTCTCAGAAAAGAAAGGTGGCCAGAGTGGCTGGAACACAATGACTGAGGTGGAAGGGATAGGAGAGATGTTGGAGAGGTGGGCAGGGGTCACACCATCTAGACCCTCAAAGACTATGGTTGGGAGACTCAGGCACTTACTCTAAGAACAGTGGTTGTGACATCTGTGAAATCAGATGGCCAAGTTCCCTTCTCTCACAAAGGGCTGTATCAACATTTTTGTTAAAATGCAAAGCCCTAGCACCTCCCACAGCCTCTCTCTTTATTTTAACCTAGTTCCCTCACCCCTCTGCATCTTGATCTCTAAGTCACCCCCCACACCATGAGCAGGCCCCAGTCCAGCCTTGTCCCTGACCCTCCTGTCTCATACTGCCCATTGTGCGTTCTGCCAAAGACAACATACCAGCAAGGGTCTCAGGAAACGTCTGGGGCTGCTGAAGTAGGTTAGATCCAAACATGAAGCAGAAGCCATTCAGATAGATGTTCTCCTTGCAGATTAGGTGCACAGTGGGGCCGCAGGCCTGGGGAGTAAAGTGCCAGTAGGAAGAGCTGCCCATGCTTTCTGTCCTTTGGCCCAGCATGTCTACCTTCCTCCAGACCCCTGACCCCAGTGCCTCTGAGCTTTCAACTCCTCCCCTGGGGGCCCTCCCATGACCCAGGCCAACTTACCAACAGACGGGAGGGGGTAGTAGTGGCTGCCAGAGACAGGCCCAAGGACATATTCACAGCCTGCAAGGGGACTGAGGAGGCAGATGTGAACAGAGTTACTCTCAGAGGCACGGAAGGGACAACTTTGGGGCTGACGGGACTGTGGAGAGCTGATCTGGGACCACCTCGGCCCTGGGAGATATGAAAATCAAGGGGGGCATCTAGGTCATGGAAAAGGAACATGAAGAGGTTATCTGAGGGTATCTGGGGTGGAGTCTGTGGACAACACAAAAGACTGAGGAGTGGGAATCTTTAGCCCCCCCACTATGGACCCCCCCCCACCAGAGCACAGGAATTCCCAGCAAGTCCAGTCCAGGTGTATGCACAGGTGAAACTCTAGACCTGGGTCCCAGGCATAGGCGGTGACCTACCCTCCAGGGGGATGGGCTCACACTTGCCCATGCTGTAGTCACACTGGTAGAGGATGCCAGTTTTGTTGGGAGCCTTTATCTCCTGGGGGGCTCCAACCACCACCCTGTGGGGAGATGTGGTATCCAAAATATAGAAAGAACTTTTATAACTCACCAGCAAAAAGACAAACAACTCAATTAAAAAATGGGCAAAAGACTTGAAAGAAAAAAGATATACGAATGGCCAACAAACCCATGAAAGATGCTCAACATCACTACCCATCAGAGAAATGCAAATCAAAATCATAGTGAGATACCACTTCACACACACAAGGAACGTCATATTTTTAAAAAACAGTAATAATAACAAGTGTTATGTACTGATCTGACAAAATCACCAAGCCAAATAAAGAAAAGAAAAAAAAGGATGTGGAAAAATTGAAACCCTTACACATTGCAAGGTGCAGCTACTTGGAAAAGAGTTTGACCATTCTTCAAAAAGTTAAACATGAGTTACCATATGACCTAACAGTTCCATTCCTAGATATATACCCCCTTAAAATTGAAAGTAAGTGTTCAAACAAAAAGTTGCACACAAATGTTCATAGCAGTACTATCCGCAATAGCCAAAAAGAGGAAACAATGAAAATGTCCATCAACTGATGAATAAATAAGCAAAATGAGGTGTACTCATAAAATTGAATATTATATGACCATAAAAAAGAATGAAGTACTGATACATGCTACAACATGGCTGCATCTTGAAAACTTTATGCTAAACAAAAGAAGCCAGACACAAAAGGCCACGTAGTGTATGATTCTGTTTATAGAAAATATCCAGAATAGACAAATTTATAGAAACAGAAAGTAGATTAGTGGTTGCCATGAGATGGGAGAAGGCAGGAATGAGGAGGGACTGCTTAGTGGGGGTCCGTTTGGGGTGATGAAAAAGTTCTGGAAATAGATAATGATGATGGTTGCACAACATTATGAATGTACTAAGAGTGACTCTTAGTCTGAATTATACACTTTAAAATCATTAAAATTGTAAATTTTATATTATGTGAAGTTCACCTCAATTCAAAAAAACCTAAATTAAGATATCATTTCTGACCTGTCCAGTTTGCGAAAAATCAATGTTTTATAACACTTTAGGTTTGCAAAGTGGTAGAGAAGTCAGTGTTTTCATAAATGTCTAGTGTAAGTGTAAATTGTTGCCACCTCTATGGAGGGTAATCTGGAAAAATTATTAAAATTACATTTGTGTATGTACCCTATGATCCAGAATCCCACTTCTAGGAATTTATTTCCAAATATACTTGCATATGAGCAAAATGACAGCAGGGCTTATACAGCAAAAGTTTGGAAACAAACTAAATGTCAATTAAGAAAATTAAAAAGAAAAAGTAAAAGAAAAGATTTAATGTAATGTAAGTGTTAATTACAGTACTTTCATATAATGGAATACAATGAAAGCATAAAAAAGAATGAGGAAGCTCTTTATTATGTATTGATCTGACAAAAATCACCAAGTCAAATAAAGAAAAGGAAAAAAGAGGGGGGTGCGGGGTGAGGGACAGTATGTAGCAGAGGTTGCCAACTTTTTCTGTAAAGGGCCAGATAGCATTAGGCTTTGCAAACCAGTCTCTGTCTCAGCTACTCAATTCAGCCATTGTAGCTCAAAAACAGCCACCAAAAGAACCAAACCAAACCACTGCAAATGAGTTGATCTGACCCATAGTGACCGTATAGGACAGAGTAGAACTGCCCACATAGAATTTCCAAGGCTGTAAATCTTTACAGAAGCAGACTGTCACATCTTTCTCCCGCAGAGTGACTGGTGGGTTCCAACCACTGACCTTTCGGTTAGCAGCTGAGTGCTTTTGAAAAACAGCCATGGACAATAAGTAATGAATGTGTAGGGCTGTGTTCAATAAAATTGTATTTACAAAAACAGGCAGCAGCCCACAAGCCATAGTTTACACAGTCTCTGGTAGAGAGTATAATGTGTGTTAGAAATTGTGGGTGGGTGGGGGAGATGGGATAAGAATGCCCTATGTATATAAAAGAATAGAATCTGTCTGGAAAAACTCTCAAGAAATCACTTACCAAAGTTCCCTCCTAGGAAGGGAACTGGGGGGAGAAAATGAGAGGGAGACTTTTTACTATTATCCTCTTTTGTATTTTTTAAATTTAAAACCCTGTAATTTTATTACCTGTTCAAAATATAAATCAACAAAATTGCCATTTTTCATTCAACAAAGTCCAACACCCATTCCTGATAGAAACTCCCAATAAAATAGGTATAGAAGGGAAATTCCTTAACATAATAAAGGACATCTATACAAAACCAACAGCCAACGTCATTTTTAATGAAGAGAGGCTGAAAACATTCCCCTTGAGAACAGGAACAAGACAAGAATGCCCTTTATCATCATTCCTATGTAACATTGTGCTGGAAGTCCTAGCTAGAGCAATAAGGCAAGAAAAAGAAATAAAGGGCATCCAAATTGTAACAAAGAAGTAAAATTGTCCCTATTTTGCAGATAATATGATACTATACATAGAAAACCCAAGACTCCACTAGAAAACTATTTGAACTAATAGAAAGATTCAGCAGAGTAGCAGGATATAAGATAAACATAAAAAAATCAGTTGGATTCCTATGCAACAAAAAAGTGAATGACAAAAAGGAAATCAGGAAAACAATATCATTTATAATAGCCCCTAAAAAAATAAAATACTTAGGAATGAATCTAATTAGGGATGTGAAAGTCCTATACAAAGAAAACTACAAAATGTTACTGCAAGAAATCAAAAGAGAACTACAATAATGGAAAAACATACCATGTTCAGGGATAGGTAGACTCAACATTGTGAAAACGTCAATTCTACCCAAAGCAACCTACAAATACAATGCAATCCTGATCCAAATACCAACAGCATTCTTTAAAGAGATGCAAAAACTAATAATTAACTTTATATGGAAAGGGAAAAGGGCCCAGATAAGTACAGCACTATTGAAGAAGAAGAATAAAGTAGGAGGACACGCACTACCTGACCTCAGAACCTACTATACAGCTACAGTAGTCAAAATAGCCTGGTACTGGTAAAATGACAGATACTTTGACCAGTGGAACAGAACTGAGAACCCAGATGTAAACCCAGCCATCTACGGTCACCTGATCTTCAACAAGCGTCCAAAGTCCATCGAATGGGGAAAAGACAGTCTTTTTAACAAATGATGCTGGCAAAACTGGATGTCTACGTGCAAACAAATGAAACAGGACCCATAGCTCACACCATACACAAAAACTAATTCAAAATAGATCAAAGACCTAAATATAAAACCAAAAACTATAAAGACCATAGAAGAAAAAATAGGATCAATGCTAGAGACCCTAATACACGGCATTGACGGGATACAAACAATAACTAACAACACACAAACTCCAGAAGATGAGCTAGATAACTGGGATCTTTTAAAAATTAAACACACTCATCAAAAGACTTCACCAAAAGAGTAAAAAGAGAACCAACAGACTGGGGGAAAAAAATTGGCTATGACAAATCCAACAAAAGCCTAATCTCTAAAATCTACAGGAAAATCCAACACCACTACAACAAAATGACAAATAATCCAATTAAAAAATGGGCAAACGATATGAACGGACACTTCACCAAAGAAGACATTCAAGCGGCCAACAGACACATGAGGATATGTTCACGATCACTAACCATTAGAGAAATGCAAATCAAAACTACAGTGAGATGCCATCTCACCCCAGCATTACTGGCACAAATCAAAAAGGAGAAAATAACAAATGTTGGAGAGGCCGTGGGGAGATTGGAACTCTTATGCACTGCTGGTGGGAATGCAAAATGGTACAACCATTTTGGAAAACGATATGACACTTCCTTAAAAAGCTAGAAATAAAAATACCATATGATCCAGCAATCTCACTCCTAGGAATATAACCTAGAGAAAAAAGAGCCGTCACATGAATAGATATATGCATGCTCATGTTCATTGCAGCATTGTTCAATATAGCAAAAAGATGGAAACAAGCTAGGTGTCCATCAACGAATGGATAAACCAACTATGATACATACACACAGTGGAATACCACGCAACGATAAAGAACAACAATGAGTCTGGGAAGCATCTCACAACATGGATGAATCTGGAGGGCATTATGCTGAGTGAAATAAGTCAATCACAAAAGGACAAATATTGTATAAGACTACTGCTATAAAAACTCATGAAAGGATTTACACACAAAAAGAAACAATCTTGATGCTTACGAGGGAGGGGAGGGGTGGAGATGGAAAAACACTAAATAGACAGTAGAGAAGTGGTAATTTTGGTGAAGGGTAAGACAGTACACAATAGTGGGGAAGCCAGCACAACTTGACCAAGGCAAGGTCATGGAAGCTCCATAGACACATCCAAACTCCTTGAGGGATTCAATTACTGGGCTGAGGGCTGTGAGGACCATGGTCTCAGGAAACATCTAGCTCAATAGGCATAACATAGTTTATAAAGAAAATGTTCTACATTCTACTTTGGTGAGTAGCGTCTGAGGTCTTAAAAACTTGTGAGCAGCCATCTAAGATACTCCACCGGTCTTACCCCGTCTGGAGCAGGGGAGAATGAAGAAAACCAAAGACACAAAGGAAAGATTAGTCCAAATGACTAATGGACCACAAGTACTACAACCTCCACAGACAGTCCAGCAAACCAGATGGTGCCTGGCTATCACCACCGACCGCTCTGACAGGGATTGCAATAGAGGGTCCTGGACAGAGATGGAGAAAAATGTAGAACAAAATTCTAACACACACAAAAAAGACCAGACTTACTGGTCTGAGAAAGACTGGAGAAACCCCAAGAGTATGGCCCCTGGACATCTTTTTAACTCAGTAATGAAGTCACTCCTGAGGTTCACCCTTCAGCCAAAGATTAGACAGGCCCGTAAAACAAAACAAGACTAAATGGGCACACCAGCCCAGGGGCAAGGATGAGAAAGCAGGAGGGGGCAGAAAAGTTGGTAATGGGGAACACAAGGTTGAGAAGGGGAGTGTTGACATGTTGTGGGGATGGCAGCCAAGGTGACAAAACAATATGTGTACTAATTGTTTAATGAGAAACTAGTTTGTTCTGTAAACCTTCATCTAAAGTACAATATATATATACATACATATATATATGTATGTATATATATATATAAATGAGAGAATACTGCCATTTTTTCAAGTATTTAAGTTCTGGAGGGAAAGGGTGTGAGGCAGGGAACGCCACTTGAGGTTCTTACCTTGATCCCTCAAACTGGACCACACTGTGTCCAAAACCCCTTGCATTCTCTTGGAAGGTCATTGCATTTTCCACGTCCAGGTTGAACCCATGACATAAGGCCAGGGCTGGAGGGAGAATAAGGCGGTAAGAGTCAGGCAAAGAAAAGGAGTTTGCTCCCCTGCTCCATGCATTTTCATACCAGGATTCACCCTAACCCAGCATCCTCACATCTGCCTCCCACCTAGGTCCAGCTCTGCTAGCCTGGGGCGGGTATTAGCACCTTTTTCTGTAAAGGGCCAGACAGTAAACATTTTAGGTTTCGTGGACCAAAAGGCAAAATAGAGTATATTATGTAGGTACTTATATAACAAGAGAGAAAATACATTTCCACAAATTTTGATTGAAGGAATTCTAAATATAACAATAATAATTAAGCACATCCTTTTTGTAATACAGATCTACTAATGAGACAAACGGTATTCTTTGGGGGAGATAACGTTTAATTTAATTGGGGTTCAAAGTTAATGTTCCTATCATCAAACCAATTACAAATGTTTATCTGTAAAAACCATTCTTAGCTCACAGGTTGTACAAAAGCACTCTGTGTCTCACATTTGGCCCACAGGCTGTGGTTTTCTGACCTCCAACCTGAAGTCTATTCAGACAACCATCTTGGGGCACATTTGGCCCCTCTCTGAGCTCTACCCAGCTCCTGAGCTCACAGGAGTCCTTCCCTTCCGTGTCCCCATTCTGCTGATTTGCCCAATAATCAAGTTCTTATAGTCCCTCCATTACGTAAATTCCTCCCTACGCAACTCTCAAGCATTTCTTTCCTCCTTTGGTCCATTCTCCGCAAAACACAAGCATAAAAGGAAACAAACTTGAATCATTTTGATCAGACATTCAACGTTTACCCCCTGCGTCCTTAGAAAATAGAACTGGAGGCAAAGGGAAGGTGGTGAGGTGGAGTCCAAAAGGAAGTATGCCGGGAGAGGAGTCCAATACAAGCTATGAACCCTTGGACAAGTGACTTCACCTCTCTGGACCTCATTTCCCTTATCTGTAAAGTGAGGGTACCAGCCAGATCCCCTTGCCCAGTCGTAGTCATTTGTCCAAGCTTCTCTGGCCACCCCATCTTAGTCTAGCTCTACTCTCTGCTTCTTCTTAAACCCTTTATCTTTCTCCATATCCTCTTTCCCTCCCCCAGTCTAATTCCTAGCTATTCTGCACCCTCCGTTTCCACTCACATACCCAAAAGTTCCCTCTCCCCAACCTGAGGACCTTCCCTCAGGCCCCTTGCATACCTGTCAACAGAAAGAATTTGCTAGTCATGGCTGAAAGGAGCAAGAACCGCAGGGCTCCAGGTGCTACTGAGCTACCTCAGGAGAGCCGCCAAAGCCAGGAAGGGCAGAAAAAAAAGAGAAGTAGGAGGCAGAAGTGTGATTAGAGACTCAAAGGAAGAGGGAGGAGGCTCAGTGAGCTCACAGCTTTGCTTGACCTTCCTCTCCAGACCACATACAGCCTGTTCTCCCTCCCACCCAGCTTCTTGGCGCAAACCATCAAGGATACTATCAAAAAAGTGTCATTTGTCACCCAACTATTTCTGGGGTTTGGCCAAAGCATCATGAAAAGCAAGCTGAATAGACTTGGGGCTTGCCTCCTGGAACATGTCTCCGTGTCTCCCTCTAAAACAAACTTCAAAATGTCCCTTCTCCAACCCATGGAAACAAGAGTTGTCCACTTTTGTAGCCATCAACAAGAACAACTCAGGAGCAAAGAAACCTGGTACTTTTTGAATAATATTTTGCTTTAAAAAAGAAAAGTGCTCTAACCCTTTACCCTAGAATTTTCACTTCCAAGAATTTATCCTAAGGAATAGCTAAGAAGTACAATCAATGATATACGTACAAGTTTGTTCATTGCAGCATTATGTTTAGTAGTGAAAAACTAGAACAACCTAAATATCCCACACCAAAGGAATGGTTAAATGATGCCTCATTGTTCGGTGTATCTTTACATTCCATTGCGTGCTGTCACTTCTAATGATTCCAAAGACACAGGAAAACCCTTTCAGCATCAAAGTATATGAAATACGTAGAATAGCAAACCGTGTCTTGTATGTGAGTCACAAGCCAAATAACGTTCCCACTCTTCCTCTAACACTTTTTCTTTTGCTCCTGGTACTACTTTCCTAAAATCCAAGGAGAGGTAAATGTTTACTGACTGAGAAAAAGTCCATAAAAATTTTGTACAGTTTGTTTTCAAATTATGTGTTTAAAAATATATATATGCAGGAAACCCCAAGTGTTAACAGTGGTTATCTGCCGACGATAGGATCTGATGTGTGTTCCAGTTATTTATCGCTACATAGCAAACCACACCAAAACTTAGTGGCTTAAAATAACAATTTATTATTATTTCTCATGGTTCTGTGGGTTGACTGACCTCTACTAGATTGTTCTCACATGGTTGCAGCCAGATTGTGGGTGGGGCTGGAGTCATCTAAAGGCTCGGTTGGGCTGGCCTTGCCAAATGGGTCACTCACATGGCTAGCAATTGGTCCCAACTGTAGGCGGGGAGCTCAGTTGGAGCTGTGGACTGAAGCACTTACCTGTGGCCTTTCCACTTGGTTTGGCCTTTTTACAATTTGTTGGCTAAATTTCCAGAGCAAGTATTCCAAGAGACAGGAAGTAGAAGCTGCTAGTCTCTTAAGATCTTGATCTGGAAACTGGCACAGAGTCACTTCTACCATATTCTGTTGGCCAATCAGTCACAGAGTTCATCCATGTTCAAGGGGAGGGGACATAGATACCACCTCTCAATAGGAAGTGTGTCAAAGAATTCGTGGCTACTTTTAATCTGTCACAGGATGACCTTCCTTTTTTCCTGTGTTTTTTGTATTTAAAACTTTTATACAAAAAAGGAGTGACTTTTATAATCAGGAAAAAAAATTAAATATAACAAAGTGCCTATACTGGTTAAGAGGTGAAAGGACTGAAAAAAGAAGAAGGCCGTGGGCCCACGTTGAGAAAATACAAACCAGTGTGTGGGGCTGAGTAGTTTAAGAGGTAAGCTGTGGTTGTTTGGGTAAAAATTTTCACACTCTGACCTCCACAGGGGGCTGTTCTAGCTCAGACATAGCAATTCCTCCCTACCCTGAACAATGGCTTAGGGTCCACTCTCTGTAAGGTATAAGCAGTCTCAGAATGTTTGTCCAACCCACATTCTCAATGACCCACCAATGGGTGTGCACCTGATCAGGTAACTGCAGGTGGGTACCTGACTCTAGGCTAGCACATCTATAGGTTACCAGCCATTCCCTTCCACCTGTCTCCCACCCTCACTCTTGATAAAACCTTAGCTTGAGTTTTCCTATAAGTGCACCCTGAAACAAGGATTTGAGTGCAAGTACTTTATTTGGGAGTTGATCCAGGAAACAATGATGGGGGAGTGGGAAAGGGAAGGAGCCCATTAAAAGTGTCTTATGAAACAAGTTACCACTGTGGGCAACTGGAGTTAATCCACTGAGGAACTCTGGAAGCCAGTACAGAACACATCTCAAAGTTATCCCATCTGAGAGGCAAGGGAGCTAGATTTTTACCCACAACTCACACCAGCTATTGGTTGAGGGATGGTCTCTAGGGAAATCTTAATTCTCTGGCACTCCCAGTCTGCCTTGCACCCAGGCAGAGGAAGATTCAGGATCCAGAGAGAGCCTTCAGGTAAGCAGTTGTAGGTTCTGGCAGCTGGAAATCCAACCAACTTGCATGAGAATGTTAAATGCTGGTGAAGAAACAGATGGGGCAGCTACAGAGAGAAGTACCCTGAAGATGCCTCTGATTCAGATGTATTTTCAGTCCCGACTATGGATTTCTGTATCAGTAAGAATAAACTTGGAGTCCTGGGTGGAGCAAACAGTTAAGCACTCGACTACTAGCTGAAACGTTGGCGGTTCAAACCCACCCAGAAGCACCTTGGAAGACAGGCCTGGCTATCTGCCTCCGAAAGGTCACAGCCTTGAAAACCCTATGGAACAGTTCTACTCTGCACTCATGGGGTCGTCTTGAGTCAGAATCAACTCGGTGGCAACTAACAACAACAAGGATAGGCTAGGTTATGCTGCAGTAACAAACAATATCGGTCCTTTATGCAACAAAAAAATCTCAGTGCCTCAAAGTTAATTTCTTGTTCCTCCAAAATTCACTGCAGATCTAAGAAACTCTCCCTGGCAGCTATCCAGTCTGCTTTATCTCATCGAAGCTCCACATCAGCATAGGTCTCCATGTTTACCTAAGGCAGAAGAGAAAAGAGCACAGATAACTGTGCACAGACTCTTCAGTGCTTCTACCCAGAAGTGACACTCATCACTTCTGCTCACATTTCACTGGTCAAAGAAGTCATATGTCCACACCCAGCTTCAGGGTCAGGAAAGTGTAATCATCTCCTGTGCCTGGAAGTAGAGCAAAATATTAGTGATCAATGACAAAGCCCATCATGGAAACCTAACTACAAACTCTCCAAAACTTGAAATAATTTGAGTGAAACCAGTGTTGCTAGCATCAAATCGACCTAAGGCAACTTGCTGGGGGATTCTAAGGTAAAAACAACCACCACCTGCCTAGTGCTTTACGAGATATCTCTTCTGATACCCCTGTTCAAACTGTTTGTTAAATGTTATTACTAATTATTATTTTCATTTCTGTTGGGCAGAAGTTCTATGTCTAACGTGGCCAAATATATTAGCCTTTTCTGTTACTTGTTTAAGAAATCTCCAAGGTTAGAAAAAGTATTTTCACTAATATATCTTCTCAAATACTTGTTTTACTTCCATATTTAAGTTCTTACTTTGTGTAGAGTTGAGGTGTGTGTGTGTGTATGTGTGTACGCACCCATGCAAGTGTGTGGTATGAAGTAGGGAATCCAATTTCTATTTTGTTCATATGAATAAATAATTTTCCAGTTCCATTCATTGAACTGTAAATTTTTTTACTTGTAAAGAATTGAATTTTTTACTGCTCATCTATTCTCTACCCAAGTTAATATAAAGCAAGATCCCAGCATTACATTTCACCACTGGGGCAATTATTTTCTTTTTAAGTCTGAAAAAACTAGATGACCACAGCCCACAGCCCAACTCTGCAGGCATATCTAGGAAACTACTTCAAAGGAAAGAATTGTTCTGACCCCTTTACTGTGTTCCCAAGTATAAAAATGATGGGCAGCAGTAACATCCCATCATAGCTCTACTTCAATGGGCAAAAAGTCATTATTTGTGGAGGGTATGATTAACTACCTTGAAAATCCAAGACTGTTAACTGACAACTTACTAATTAATCTTGTTCAGTGAGATCAACATATAAAAATCTAATCTATATTTTATTCAGCAGTGATAACTAATTAAAAAATGTAATTAATAAGTACTGGCCTGACAAAGACTGGAGAAATCCCAAGAGTATGGCCTCCAGACACCCTTTTAGCTCAGTAATGAAGTCACTCCTGAGGTTCACCCTTCAGCCAAAGATTAGACAGCCCCATAAAATAAAACAAGGCTAATAGGGCACAACAGCCCAGGGACAAGGACTAGAGGGCAGGAGGGGACAGGAAAGCTGGTAATAGAAAACCCTAAGTCGAGAAACGAGAGTGTTGACATGTCATGGGGTTGTTAACCAATGTCATAAAACAATATGTGTACTAACTGTTTAATGAGAAACTACTTGTTCTGTAAACCTTCATCAAAAGTACAACTAAAAAAAAGAACATACTCAAGAAAGAAAAAGAAAACATAATAAGAAAAACATCATTCATAACACCAAAAAAGCTATAAAATCCCTAGGCATAAATGTAACAAGAAATATGCAATAACTATATAGTTTTTAAACTGTTAGACTTTCCTGAAGAACATAAAAGAATAGAAAGACATGTCATATTCACAAATGACAGCAATCCCTCAGATCACTCAGTAACTCAGTGTAAATTTACTCAACAGAATTTTATGGAATTTGACAAGCTGATTTTAAAATTTACCTGGAAGAGAAAATGCACAGTAATAGCCTGGAAAACTATGAATATACCTTACTATAGCGTGTCATTTCATAACCAAACATGCCATATCAAAGCAATACCCTAAAGCCATAGTAAGTAAAAATACGGTGTAGGTTTGGGAATAAATACATAAGACCAATGGAAAGAATACAGAGTGTATATATAGAAATCTGGTATCTCTGTCAAAAATAATATATTTCTCTTAAATAAAAAATACAAACCTTTTTTGATCCGACTTCCCCCACCAACCACTACCCCATTTTTTAATTGAAACCCATTCCAATCAAGCTCTTGCCCCACTCCCCCACTCCACCAAAACAGTTTTCATCAAGGGTATGTGGTTAACTCCAGTAGTCAGTTCTAATTTTTCATCTTAAGTGATTC